CAGGGTACAGATGCCACATCAAAGGCAGCAGGCTTGGGGGCAGTTGGCTGGGGCACATGGCCATCCCTCAGGGGATGTCTTCCTGATGCATGAGCACTTGGAGCCCATCTTCTATCTGCTCGATGCTTATGGGCAGCCATGTGTGCTGGTTCTCGTCCATGTACACAGACTGCCGCCAGATCCACAGGCGGTCCGTGTGCAAGGTTGTGTGCACCAAGATCTGCAACTCTTCCATGACACCTCGGACAGTCCAAGGAGCAAGAGCTGCAGCCTCTAGAAGCCTCTCGCTTGTTTATGAGAATGTTTCTGTTCTGCTTGTTCATCTTGTTTGTAGATTCAATTGTTGATAGATATGTATTTATTGCCATTTTGTTTGTTCATATTTTTTAATCTTCTTTTTCTTCAAGAAGACTCTTCAACATTTCATATAATAATGGTTTGGTGGTGATGAACTCCTTTAGCTTTTTCTTGTCTGGAACTCTTTATATGCTCACTGATTCTAAATAATAGCTTTGCAGGATAGAGTAATCTTGGTTGTAGGTTCTTGCTTTCCATCACTCTGAATATTTCTTGCCACTCCCTTCTGACCTGCAAAGTTTCTTTTGAGAAATCAGCTGACAGCCTTATGGGAACTGCCTTTTAGGTAACTAACTGCTTTTCTCTTGCTACTTTTAAGGTTCTCTCTTTGTCTTGAACCTTTTGCATTTTGATGATGATGTGTCTTGGTGTGGGCCTCTTGGGGTTCAACTTGTTTGGGACTGTGTGCTTCCTGGACTTGTATGTCTGTTTCCTTCACCAAGTTAGGGAAGTTTTCTGTCATTATTGTTTCAAATAGGTTTTCAATTTCCTGTTCTCTCTCTTCTCCTTCTGGCATCCCCATGATGCGAATGTTGGCACGCTTGAAGTTGTACCAGAGGCTCCTTACACTATCCTCATTTCTTTGGATTCCTTTTTCTGTTTGCTGTTCTGGTTGGGTGTCTATTGCTTCCTTATATTCCAAATTGATGGTTTGCTTCTTGGCTTTACCTACTCTACTATTGAATCTCTGTAAATTATTCTTTATTTCAGTAAGTGCCTCCTTCATTTCTGACTGGTCCTTTTTAATGCTCTTGAGGCCCCCTCTAAGTTCACTGAAGTTCTCACTAAGCTCATTGAGCATCCTTATAAGCAGTGTTTTGAACTCTGCATCTGTTAGATTGCTTATCTTTATTTTATTTAGTTCTTTTCCTGGAGTTTTGTTCTGTTCTTTCATTTGGGACATATTTCTTTGTCTCCTCATTTTGGCTACCTCCCTGTGTTTGTTTCTAGGTAGAGTTGCTATGTCTTCTGGGCTCTCTAGGGTGGTCTACTGTAGTAGGTGTCCTGTAGGGTCCAGTGGCACAGCCTCCCTGGTCTCCCAGCTGGGTCCTTGAGGTGCACCCCTCATGTGGACTTTATACCTTCTGTTATAATTGAGTCTTGATTGCAGTCTCAATGTGGCTTCTTTAATTTTGTAGTTGTAGGACTTCCATTCAGCCTGATTTCAGGTGGTTTTGAATGATGGTTGTTCTGTAGTTTAGTTGTAATTTTGGTGTGGTTGTGGGATAACGTGATACCATGATACCATGTTTGCCTACTCTGCCAGCTTGACCGGAAGTCCTTCCCATTGATATTTATTTATTTATTTATTTAATCCTCACCTGAGGACATTTTTTTCTATTTCCTGTTCAGATAGTGTGGGAGGGAGAGAGAAGAGAGAGAGAGAGAGAGAGAGAGAGAGAGAGAGGGAGAGAAACATCGACATGAAAGGGACACATTGACTGGCTGCCACCTGCATGACCCAACCAGGGCCGGGGACAAACTGCAACCGAGGTACATGCCCTTAGTGAGAACCAAATCCGGGTCTCTCTGGACCACAGGCTGGCAATCTAACCGCTGAGCCAAACTATCCAGGGCTCTTCACATTGATTTTTAGAGAAAGTGGAAAGGAGGGAGGGAGGGGGAGAGAGAGAGAAACATTGATGTGAGAAAGACACATGGATTGGTTGCCTCCCACACTACCCCAACCAGGGTTGGGGTTGAACCTACAACCCAGATATGTGCCCTTCACCAGGAATGGAACCCAAGATACTTCAGTCCATGGGCTGACCCTGTAACTTCTAAGCCATACCGACTGGGGCAACAAAGCCTATCTTTATGATATTTACAAAAGCTGCATCTAAAGCATCAGTGCATAGAGTGCATATAGCAAATAAATACTAACAGAAAGAAAGCAGTGTTGCTATATTAATAGCAGACAGAATAGACTTTTAAGACAGCAAGACTGTGCCTGGCAGGTATGGCTCAGAAGCTGAGCATCATCCCATGGAGTGAGAGGTCCTGGTTTGATTCCCAGTCAGGGCACAGGCCTGGGTTGCAGGCTTGTTTCCCTCTTACATCAATGTTTCTATCTCTCTTTTCCTTCCTCTTTCTTTAAAAAATTAATAAAAATGTATTTTAAAGAAAAGACAGCAAGACTGTCAGTACAAATTGGAAAAAGTCTCAATTCACTGAAACTATAATAATCCCCCAAAGTAAACTCCAGATAACCTAATCATATAGAGGGCAAAAATTGATTTAAAAAATAGTAACAAATAGAAACTCATATAATCATAGCTGGAGGTTTTAATACACCACTCTTAGTTATTTATAGGTCAGTCCAAAAAAATAAGAAAAGATATAGATTAGAATGAGAAAAATCAACACAGTTGACCCAAGAAACATTGATAAAGTTCTGCATCCAAGAGTTAGAGCAATGCGAAGCATTACAAATATTGGCCACATTCAAACCATAAAGCAAGTCTCAATAAAGTTCTAAAATGTATACTGACAAGATACTTTGGTTATAATACAATTAAATTAGAAGTTCATAACAAAAACCCCTTCTACATTAAAAAAAAAATCCCTGTATATTTTTTTTTTTTTTTTTTTTATCCTCACCAGAGGACATTTTTCCATTTTTTGTTCAGATAGAGTGGGAGGGAGAGAGAGGAAGAGAGAGAGAGAGAAACATCGATGTGAAGGGACACATCAAGTGGCTGCCACCCTCACGACCAACCAGGGCCGGGGACAAACTGCAACCGAGGTACGTGCCCTTAGCGGGAACCGAACCCGGGTCTCTCTGGACCGCAGGCCGACGCTCCAACCGCTGAGCCAAACCAGCCAGGGCAATCCCTGTATATTTTGAAATACAAGACACTCAACCTAATTGCAACATTCTCTGTTACCAGCTTCCCATGATTTAGATACTGATCCAGTATCTCGCTGTGCCGTGGTTCCAGCCCCCACCCCAAAGGAGAAAGGCGGTGAGGGACCCAACCAGGGCAGGACCATTCAATCATGTGCAAATAGCTACTGAGCACCCACTGTGCTAGGCCGGGGGATGAAAACAAAAAGAGCTAAGTTCAGGGTTCCCATAGACTGTGCCACCCAAGTCTGTTGCTAGCTGTAATTTGGCTAACTTGAAGTCAGAAGTCTTGATCTGCTCCACTCAGTGTAGGGATCCCTTATTTTTTATTTTTTGCCAGAAGTCAGTCTAAGAATCGCCTTGGGAGCACGCTAAACACAAGTCCCCTGTCCCTACCCTTGGAAAGGCTAATTGAACTCAGGTCCGGATGGAGCCCAGCAGTCTGTGGTGCTTCTAGCAAACTGCCCAGGTGTAGTCAGGTTTGGAACCACAGGCTCAGATGATTTCTTAGATCCCTTCTAAGTTCAAAATAATTTATTTCATGATTATTGACAAATGCTCTTAAGATATTTGGTCAGATTTCTCTTTACCTGAATACACAGTTAGCTTGACATATATCCTTTTTATTTATTTTATTATTATTTTAAAATCCTCACCCAAGGATATTTTTTAAATTTATCTTCAGTCAAAGTGAGAGGGAGGGAGAGAGAGACACACACACACCCACTGGTTGCCTCCTGCACCACCCTGACCCTGGGGATGGAACTGCAATGGAGGTACGTGCCCTTGACCGGAATTGAACCTGCGACTCTATGGCCCCCCAGCCGATGCTCTAACTGCTGAGCCAAACTGGCCAGGGCTATTTTATTTTTTAAATATGTTTTTATTAATTTTTTAGGGAGAGTGGAAGGGAAAGAGATAGAAACATTGATGTGAGAGAAATATATTGATAGGCTGCCTCCTGCACGCCCCCCACTGGGGATCCAGCCCACACCCCAGGCACGTGCCCTGACCGGGAATCCAGCTGGCGCCGCTCAGTCCATGGGAAGATGCTTAGCCCTCTGAGCCACAGCTGCCGGACCATATATACTTTTTATATTGGTCGAAATTCTGCCAATGCCTCCCTGGACTGAACCCAACCAGAAGCCAAAGGCGAGGGTAATGATTCGGGCCAGTCCCCCGGGGTGGAGGAGGGTGCCCAGAACCCGCGGGGACACATGGCGGTCACACGCGCCCTGTGCCCTCCTCTGAGGCCCTCACGGCTGTTCTTTAGACTCACCGGCTCTGACACGCAGTGTTTTCCCACGCGGTGAAATAGGGTAATATTCTCTAAAGTGATTTAAAGGTTTAAGGTATATTTATTCTACTGAATATCCACTGATTCCCCTTTCAAGTTTCTTCGTAAAATTTATATTTTTCACTCTAAATTTGTGTGCAGAAATGTGTAAGAAGAGTATGATTCTCTCCACCGCGGATCAAGACCCAGAGGATTGGTTTGAGCGCGGGTGTGGTGCTGGAGGGCGTTTTCTCCCCTGGGTCCCTTCTTGGAGGACGAAGTAACAGTTGACCGAAGTCCCTCCTAGTCCCCCAAACATTTTTGATTCTCCTGTGGACCAGCTTCCCTGGTGCACAGGACCCGGTGAATTCTTGTGTCTTCTCACCCAGACTCTTTACTTCTTTGCCTAGCAACAGCTACATTAGTGCAGAGGATTTCTCTGATTGGCTGAATACAGCGGGGGGGGGGGTCTCCCCCAACCTAGACTCTGTGTTCTTCCTCTTTACCTTTACCGCTGCCTAGTTCCTTTACCCCCGCACCCACCGGGACTTATTTGGTTAACGTACCTGAGAGCAATGGTCCTCAGTGGGGCGCTGGTCCTGGGGCTGCACACCTTGATGACCCTCCTGAGACCCGGGGGAGCTGGGGACATCAAAGGTGAGTGCTGAGGGCCACTGGGTGAGGGGAGCAGGTTTAGGGCGTCGGCTAAGAGACCGGCAGAGCATGAACTGCACCTCCCCCTGTGCGGTTTATGGTCCATTCCGAACCTACAACGCAGGTGCGGCTCCGTCCAGCCAGGGCAGTGTCTGGCTCAGGCTCTGTCTGTTCAGGTGCTTCCCCAACTCCTTCCCAAACCTCCACCCACTGCCACCCAGGGCCTGATTTCTCTACCGCTTCCTGGCTTGGAGTGTGTGTGTTCAAATTCAGTTCTATTGTGGTCTCCATCACCATGTCACTAGTCACCTGTCCATCTGCCTTTGTCCGGTTCTAGATGCGAGCTCCTTGTGTGCGGGGCCCACAGCTGGTTCGTCTGTCTTTCCGGGGCGTGGGCTGGGCACGCGGCGGTCCCTCAATGACTACTGAACAAATAATTCCTAGAATTTCAAAGGAATCTTACCAGATACAGAGAAGGGACTGAGGGTTGCCAGAGTGGAGGGGTTGGGAGGGCTGGGCGGAAAAGGTGAGGTGCTGAGAAGTACAGATTAGTTGCAAGTAGTCAGGGGGACGTAACCTACAGCAGGCAACGGCTCTCAACCTGTGGGTCGCGACCCCTTTGGGGGTCGACCGACCCTTCCACAGGGGTCGCCTAAGACCACCGGGAAACACATATTTCCGATGGCGATTCATAACAGTAGCAAAATTACAGTTATAAAGTAGTGACAAAAATAATTTTATGGTTGGGGGTCACCACAACATGAGGACCTGTATGAAAAGGCCGCAGCATTAGAAAGGTTGAGAACCACTGGGGAAATAGTAACATTGTAGTATCTGTGTATGGTGCCAGGCGAGCATGGAAATAACACGGTGTAATGTGTATGATTGTAACCACTATGCTGTACACCAGAAACTAATGCAAAACAAGATATAATGTACAAATAAATAAATAAACAGCAGAAGTGGCAACATAGTAAAAGAACAAAAATAAGAGAACTAAATAAGGAAACTTACTGATTAAAACCTAACCCTAACTTCCAGAAAGCTGAGCTTCCGTCTTGGGAAGTCGCGTTCACCGGTGGTGCGCTGAGATGGGGAGTGGGGACCCCGACCTTGACTTTCTGACTCCTGGTCCAGGGCTCTCAGCCACGCCTGGGCTGCCTTGTCCTAGCCCTTTGGTTTCTTTGCCACAAATCTTACTCCTGCCGCCGCCGCCTCTTCCTTCACACCCACCCTCTGCATCTCTGTGCCCAGAGCCCCTCTGATGCTCCTCTCCGGAATCATCTGCTCACCCCGCCCCCGCACACCCGCGGCTCACACACAAGACCTGATAGCACAGTTCGAGCAGGTGGTCGTAGCCACAGTCTAACCTTGGGGATCCCAAGCATGGTCTTAGGCCTCTTCTCTTCCCAACCTGGTGTGCAGACTGCACCTGTGTTGGCCAGAGTGGCTGGGGCACGGGCTCAGAGCAGCGTGGCACGTGTCATGGGTGAGACTGATACATTTTCTTCTCTCTCTCTGAACTCACCAACACAGCTGACCACATGGGCTCCTATGGGCCAGCCTTCTACCAGTCCTACGGTGCCTCGGGGCAGTTCACCCATGAGTTCGACGGGGAACAGCTGTTCTCTGTGGACCTGAAGAAGAGGGAGGCTGTGTGGCGCCTGCCTGAGTTTGGCGACTTCACCCACTTTGACCCGCAGGGGGGGCTGGCCAGCATTGCAGTGATCAGAGCCCACCTGGACGTGTTGGTGAACCGCTCCAACCGCACCCGAGCCACCAACGGTACCTGGCCGTCCCTCCGACGCTCCCCCACCGGCAGGCAGGGGAGGCCCAGAGCTGCTTCTTCCCCACCTCACAGGCCCCTACCCACAGGGGCACGCGGCTCCCAGCGGCTGCGACTGTGGTGCTGAGCCCCTTTCTTTCCCAGGAGGCTCTAGATCCCCCCAGACCCTTCATCAACCTCTTCCTTCTTGAGGAAGGACCCCTGGCACCTGGACTCCCCTTCAGGGGCCTGTCAGATGCAGGAGCGCCTGGTGCCCCAGTGGCCTTCCTCAGTCTCCTCTCCCTCTGCCCTCCTCCCCTTGCCTGCCCCACTGGCTACCTGCCCGCAGATGGCTAATTAGGAGAAAATGTCCCTCAATCCCAGTCCTAATAAGGCCCAGAAGCAGGGATGATGCCTTGGGATTCAGGGCCTCGTTTCTCCTAGTGCCTCCACGGGTGACCATACTCCCCAAGTCTCACGTGGAGCTGGGCCAGCCCAACGTCCTCATCTGCATCGTGGGCAACATCTTCCCCCCTGTGATCAATGTCACCTGGCTGCGCAATGGTCAAACAGTCACCGAGGGCGTGGCCCAGACCAGCTTCTATTCCCAGCCTGACCACTTGTTCCGCAAGTTCCACTACCTGCCCTTCGTGCCCGCGGCCGACGATGTGTACGACTGCCGGGTGGAGCACTGGGGCCTGGACGGGCCGCTCCTCGGGCACTGGGGTACGGAGCCGCTTTCCAGCCCACTCTTCAACCCCGTTTCCTTACCCTAGAAGCCCTCGCTGCACCCCTGACCTTCCTTTCTCTCCAGAGCCCCAGGTGCCTCCCCTGCCGCCAGACGCCACAGAGACCCTGGTCTGTGCCCTGGGCCTGGCCACTGGCCTGGTGGGCATCATCCTCGTCATCACAGGCACACGTTTGTCCAGTGCCCCCAGGTGCAGGGCCTGGGGTGTGGGGGGGGGAGTGGAAGAGTCTGAACAGGATGAGGGTGGAGAATCAGACATTCCTGGGGAGGAATGGGGTCAGGGAAGGGCAAGATGAATGAGCAGAGGGCAGGGGACAGAAGAGCAGGGGCGAGGGGAGCGGTGGGGGAGGGAGGTGCAATCAGAGGACGGATCCCAGAATTGTGAGTTTCAACAGCCTTGGCCACCTGGTTTTTCTCCTGTAGGTAATGACTCCTCTGAGAGAAATGGATTGTGGGAGACTCCTATGGATTCTTCGAAGTTTCTGGCAGCCCTTGCATGCTCCCTGCCACGGTCCTGGTACACCGCCCCGGTGCTGACTTTGAATGGGATCAACCTGTGTCCCATAGGTCTGCTCCTGCTTGTCCCCAGTACTCATGGCAGGAATTGTGAGGACACCAACTAGAAACTCTTCCCGCCCCCAACACACACACATGCACTCACACATATACATGCATACACACACATGCACACATACATGCATTCACACACACACACACCTGCACACACACTTTTTTGCTCTACCCAAAGCTCTGGCTAGCAGCAATAAATTCAGTAGTGATGTTTGCACTGTATCCTTTTACCAGTTCTTGGCCAATTCTCTCAGGGTGTGAGGAATGCTAGGACTTGGAAGAGGGGATTCTGGGTGCTGACCACTGAGCATGGCCTCCTGGTACTGGGGATTGGCAGTTACCCGCAGGCTGGTCCAGCTATGACTTGCTTCATTTGACTCATCAGTTCAGGGCCCACTGTGTGTCACTTGTAAATGGGCTATTTCACAAGGACTTCAAGACCTTTGCCTCCAGAATTCAGATTCCCCTGAAAGGGATGCAGAGACTCTGTTCGTTGCAATGCCCACAAACCAACACCAGTTCCGAAGGGCACGGGGAGAGCAAAGGTTCATGAGAATTCCATTCTTGTCCAGATTCACTCTGTGAGGAAGGGGCCACTGGTGTCTCGCCATGGTCTACAGCGTTATCTTCTTTTTCTGCATTCCCTAAAGAGTCATATGCTTGACACAGAGTGTCCTGAGGCGGGACTCAGACGGCTACTTCCTCAACCTGGGTCACGCATATCAGTTAGGAGGGGAGCAGAGCAAATGGCAGGCGTCTGGTAAGGGGGTTAGTCTAAGAGAGATCCACTTGAACACTCTAAATGGTGGTCTGGAAGATGTTGGTTTACTGTGAACGAAATAAAAAGTACACACCGAGAGATCAGTAACCATCCCAACTAGTTTACGTGCAGTATCGAATGAGTAGTATGGAGTGGTGGTTTCACACCAGAGTGAACATAAGAGAATCACTTAGGAGCCCTTTAAAAAGTGCAGGCTCCACCCAGACCTGCTGAATTAGACACAGGAGAGCACAGGGGGTCTGTGTTTTGGGTAGGTTCCGGGTGATGCTAATGCAGCCATCCCTGTGGGCCTACTTCATGTCTCTAACCTCCGAGAGCCTCCTGGGAAGTGCCCAGCCCCTTGGAGGGGCCGACATTTCCTCCTGTGTCCTCCCACCTCCCACGGTGCACTATGAAACCTGAGCAAGCCCGAGCCTCCCCAGGAGAGGACTCCCCGCATTTCTGACCCTTGGAAGCTTTCTGCTGCCTCCTCTCTGGAGCCCCAACCCCAGTCCTGAGACCTGGCTGGGTTCCCAGTTGCCCCTCGTCCCCTCCTCAGCCTCCCGTCTCTCACTGCTCCATGTACAGGTCTTCCCATAAGGCCTGAGCGGGGCAGTTCCTCAATCAATGTTGAAACAACGAACTGACTAAAGAGTGAAATGTGTCCATTCAGCTACAGATTTCTTAATGACATACCCAAATAAAAATAAATAAATAATAAGGTTTCTGCAGTGATTACTTTTATTATAATACTCTTTCCTTTACCGAACACATCCAACGTGCTGAGCACTAGTCCGCACACCTCCGTTTGTCAGGTGTCTGGGGTGCACATCTGCACGAGGCACACCTGGAGTTCCCTGAAGTGTTCCATGAAACTCGTGTTTCTAAGAATGCTGATTTAACAAAAATCAACATAAGTAATATTTTTCTTCTACAGTATATTTTAATATGTGTAAGGAAATGCCAAACATTTGTACATAGTCATTATTAAATAGTCATCTGCCATTTAAGATAAGACATGCCATTTTTTTGTAACTGCAAAAAGATTAGATACATGTTCAGTAGGAGTGGAATAGTGGGAAAGCGATGGGTACAAAGCTGATAGAAAGAAAGAGGAAGATCGCTTTGACATGATGTGGAGGGATTTCTAGGATGTAGTGGAAAATATAAGATACAAAAAAAATATATCTAGTATGTGCTACCTTTGGGGTAAGAAAGAGGGGAGATATATACATTTGCAAAAGCCACGCTGGAAAGATAAACCAGAAACTGAGAAAAATGAAGAGCAAGGAGAATTGACCTGAAGGAATGGGTTTGAAACAAGAGTGAACACTGGCTCTTGAAGTCCGCAAATACTTTACAATTTTTATAAAAATTAAACAGAGCCCTGGCCGGTTTGGCTCAGCGGTTAGAGCGTCCACCTGCGGTCCGGAGAGACCCGGGTTCGGTTCCCGCTGAAGGCATGTACCTCGGTTGCAGTTTGTCCCTGGCCCTGGTTGGTCGTGCGGGTGGCAGCCACTCGATGTGTCCCTTTCACATCGATGTTTCCCTCTCTCTCTCTTCCTCTCTCTCCCTCCCACTCTGTCTGTGCAAAAAATGGAAAAATGTCCTCAGGTGAGGATAAATAATAATAATAATAATAAAAATAATAAAATAATAAAAATTAAACAGAAAATTGTAAAATTTAAAAACACAGAAACAACTGAACCACACAGAGAAAATATTAGTTAAAGTAATTAGTTAAAATAGTAAAGTAATTAGAAAATAATACTGTATGTTTCTAGTGGAGTATATTTTAAGGACAAAAAGAAATACCCAAAATGTCAAATGTCACTCAGTAGTTTTAATAGTCATTGTTAACAGTGATATTGCATATTATTTTGAAGCTATGTTATGTATATTATAGGATAAAGCATATTAGTAATTATTGATGTAATGTAACTAGGAACCAAGATCTTCAGTGTATAAAAAGGAAGAAAAAAGAAACTGAATGATAACAAATGTCAATTTTAACTAATGATTTTTTATATAAATCCTAGCCCCAGCCAGTGAAAGGACCTGGGACCCATGACTCCCCCTCATCCCCAGCAGCAATGAGCACCCCCGGTGCAGACTCTGGTTTCCAAATACCACTACCCGTAAGGGGATGGCGCTTCTCGGAGAAGTGGCTGACTTCAGGTCTGGGTCAGGGTAAACACAAGGCAAGTGTGTTTTGAAGAGCAGCCAGCAAGAAGAGGTTCTCTCATTGGCCAAATTTGGGACAATCTGAGCATCAGAAAAATGGCCATGATTGACTTAAATTATTGACTATATAAAAATCCATGAGTCCCTAATAATGATCAAATAAAGATAAAACAAACAAGCAACGACACGACTGTCACCGCTGGGTGTGATTCGAATTCCTGACGCAGAAAACTGGTACTCAGAGAAAACAAGCTTATGTACCCTGACCTCTCAGGAGGAACTATAGTTCCCTTGATGAGAAAAGTCTTCCCTTTAGATGACTGCCAGCTAATCAATGTAGGCGAAATAACGGATTAGAAAGTCAGCATTTTGCACTCTGATTGGTTCAGGGAAGGCGTTGAGATGTTAGAGCCATTGGAACAGATGACTGGGAGCCAGAGTCACATCGTGCCAAAGCCTCATGCCCACAGACTGTTTGCTATTAGCAAAAGGGAGAAATTATCTTTACAGAGCACAGAGACTGGGCTGTCACCATCTCAACTCGGTCACCAACTTGGGCTCCTCAATAGTGGGACAGGACAGTGGTCACATACTTCCTGAGGAGATGGACAGTGGCGCTCACAGCACCCCTGCGGAGAATTACCGCCAAACCTTTCATCTGCATCTAACCAAGCCTTTGGTTCAAAGTTCCGGTGATAGAAAACACATCAGATAGAGGAATAAGTCCAATGGAACCATTAAGAAACATCATACAAGTTCAGAATGTGTGATATTCCATGAGACAGTGGCCTATTCTCTTTACAAAGGCAGTGTAAGAAATGGTGGGGTGGGGAAAGATTAAAAGGGATTTAAGAGACATTACAATCAAATTTAGTAGGTGATTCTTGGCAACACCTTTGAGGGAAAACAGATATAGAGTCAATTTTTGAGACAAATTGGACCACTTAAATATGGGTAATCAACGATATTAGGAAATTATTTTCAGTTTTGTTCAGTATGATTATGGTACTGTGGTTATATAGCAAGACATCTTTATGCTAAAGTATTTAGAGATGAAATTCCATGTGTGTGTGTGATGCTGTGCCATACTTGAAAATAGCAGATTAAATGAGAGATCACTAGAGCCTGAACCCATGAGTTGATGTATGCCACCTACTGAATAATTGAATTACTCCTCTGTAATAGAGATTCGAAATATTGTTTTTATTTTTAATTAAAATAAAATAAGCATGATGTAATGCCTTTAACATTTTGCTTCGTTACATGATTATTAAATACACATAAAATTTGACTACTTCTTTCAGCAACTTTAAAAAAATAGGTTTCTATTGATTATTAGAGAGGAAGAGAGATAGATAGAGAGAGAGAGAGAGAGAGACATTAATGTGAGAGAAACATCTATCAGTTGCTTCCCATATGCCGGGATGGAACCACAACCTGGTCATGTGCCCTGACCAGGAATCGAACCAGCGACCTTTAGGCAGCACAATGCTCAACCAACTGAGCCACATTGGCTACGGCTTCTAGCAACTTTTTCATCCATAGGTTCAAAGCACAATCTCATTTTCTCTTGGAGTCCTACAATTGCTTCATTAAATCTTATCCTTTGAGAATAATGTTCTGCAGCCTAAAATTATTATAACACTGTCTACAGACATCTTATGAACACCAAGAACAAATTCAACTGTAAAAATATTAAGATTGTTTGTAATTTTGTGCTTTTTTCCATGTTTGATATTTTATTGGCAATCCTAATCAGAAAACAGACAAGATTAATAATAATTTTGTAAAAATAGTAAAAATGGAGAAGATACAGAGTTTCCAAAACCTTACCAAGTTCTTATAATGTTTATTCCTGGTCTGCAGTTTTGTCATTCTTTTTCTGTCCTTCTTACATGACCAACACAAGCCCAGATATCACCCCCCCCTTTCCTCTCGTAGCGCTGTCCACCTGGTCCCAGGCCCCTCTCCTTTACCTTCACCTCCTACACCCTGGTTCGCACAGGCCTCGACCTTCATAAAGGTCCCAGTGTGTGAGCCAAGCCTAAAGGAGGGTTAGGATGGTGGGCATGGCTAGTCGCCATTCAGGCACTGCTCAGTCCAGAGTGAGGAATTTCCACTCAGTCTTCCTCCTCACACAGCAAAACAGTCACTGGGAATTCCTTCGCCTGTATTTGGGGGATGAGGCTGTTTCATTTCTTCTTTGCCTTCACACGTCCTAATAGTTCTTCAGCCAAGTTCGCTTAAGTTGGACTTGGTGCAAAAAATTAATTTCCTACAGCATGGAGGAATCTTGGGCAGAAGCTACACTCACAAAGCAGAGGTAGCTTTTTCACGCTCAGCGCTTGTGTGGAGCTCCCTGGATCCAGCCAGCCACTGCAGAGCCCTCCTCCGTGGAGAAGGGAAGACTGGGCCCCAGGGCCACAGAACGAGGCGACGGCGGCTTCCTGTGTCCCCCTGCACACTGGGCAGAGGATGCCCCTGAAGGACTGGGCACACGGAGCGATCTGTCAGGCAGAAGCAGTGTTAGGTGTGCCGAGTGGAGGCTGCTGCCACACTGTGCTGCTGTCCACGGCAGGGGGACAGACTGGGGAGGCCCCGAAGGAGAATGCGGAGCCCGGCAAGGCCGTGTCTCAGGAGGGTTGTTTGTGACTCTGAACTGTGCGACACTGAGCACCACCCTGAGGATGTGGAGCCTGCTCCCTGCAGACCTCCAGCTGGAGTATCTGGACTTGGACCTGATGCACTGGACTAATGCCTTTGAGCGGGCAGATGACCCTTTCCCTGAGAATGCTCATGGGACCATCCACCATGACGCCACTGACTACAAGGAGACTGGAGACTCTGGAGGCACTGGTGGCTTAGGGGTGGGGTGGGGTGGGCGCTGGGCCTGGCCCACTTCAGCAGTTGGTAGATTGATGATCTGCTCTGTGTGGCCTCTGTGCACCCAGCTGTCCTGCAGGGGAATGCCACCTGTGTCTGGCTCAGCACGAGTTGACTGCCCACTGCCAAGCATGTGGCCTGGAGTGACTGCTGGCAGCCCTCTG